CGGAATCTTATATCATAAAAGACACTTATCGACCTACCTCGATAAGATAAAATTTGTTGAAAACGGGGCGATAATGGTTAATTTTAAAGGAGTTAAATCTGAAAAATTTGTATGATTTTACACAGAAAGCGATACTTTTGAGTGGCTCCTAAATTTTTATCAAAAAAAAAAGTGGCTAATCGATCGATCTGTAGTACGTCAATTATATCTAGAAGATTAGTGAAAAATAAATAGTTATGATTAGGATCCTAAGCAAGATTTACGATTCTCTACAGTGCCAATAATACCCACAAACCCGCCTAAATCCCATTTAATGACGTCACTTATCGATCGTTTCGATATCGTAGCCTCAGAATAATCCAGCCCACCGTCGTCGTGCCAGTCATCCTTTGTTGGTGGGGGTCCAACCAGGGAGGGCTAGCGTGTTGTGTTGAGGTGTTCCCTCGGCTTCTTTTCACCGCACGGGCCCCTGGTATCCAATATTTGGGCGAGTGAAGCTGGAGCAGTGATGTGTCTGCGTCTCTGCAATCCTGGGCTCTCCCACCACCCGCTCGCTGCCCGGCCCCAAGCCCTTCTCCCCGCACTCACTCCCAGCATTTGATGCCGTAAAAGACGGGAACGGGGACCCCAGGGAGACTGGCTACATCCTTGTGAATATTAATGGGAAGGAGCTGGAAACGAGAAAAAATCGTTAATTTTGGCCGTTCGTTTTTTTTAGAAAGGTGATTGTAGAATTGTCTTGAAAATGATAAAAGGTGGCGGTTCAAGGAGGTCATTGCCATCCTTGTGAATATTAATGTGAAGTGGGAGAAATGGGAAGACGCCGGAAACGCGAGAAAAGCGTCAACTTAGCCGCGCGGAATTTTTGTTTTCTTCAAAATTCAACAGGCCTAATTTTTTTTGTAAAACCGAAAATTGGATCATTACAACTTGCTAAACGGGTGAAATCCAGACTTTCAAGCCCGAGGCAATTGTTTCGTCATTTTAAGAATATGTGGCAAATTTTTCGAAAGGAATTAGCGATTTTTCGCACGATCTACCGTGCAAAATTTGTTTTTAATTTTAAGCCACTCGATTTTTGTTTAGAAAAAAAACCATAAAAATGCTTTTGCTTTAGGACCATGACTACGACTCGGCCGATCCGGCGCAGCGTTCCGTTCGTGACTCGCAAGAATTCCCAGAGATCCCGCCGCTCGAATTCTCCGAAAACCTCGAAACCGAGGTGGTTGTTGGGCGCGGCTCGGCGGCCGATCGATTTTATCAGGAGGGCGGAGCGATGTATTCAGCGTAAGCTTTATATACGAATTTTTAAAACCTAATTTTGGAGCATTTATCAATTTTATTGCGAAATTTCCTCAAAACTGATAAACTTTCATGATTTATGTATCGAAAAACCCGGAGAAAAATATATTTAGGCCCCGTTCTGGTGTCACGCAAATCGGCGGCACCACATACCGCTCAGCCGGCGACCACTCGAAGAAGCTCGTCATCGGCGGCCAAAATTATCAGTACCCCGGTCAACGGGCCGCTCTCGTCGCACACAGGAATGGTAAAAATGCCCGCTTTTCAGGGTCTATTCTGATTTTTTTAGATACCTATGCCTCTCCCTCGTACACGATGAGCAACACGTACTACGGTGGCGGCGCCCAGGGCAGCTACAGACGCACCGTACAGCCAGTCAACAATCCGCCTGGAGGAGCCACACTTCGGAAACCCGTGCTGACGCAGCGCCCGTCGCAGATTACGCCTCATAAGTGCGTAGATGAGCAAGATTTTTATTCGTAATTTTGCGGTATCCGATTTCAATATTTCGTCGAGAGTTTAGAGAGACAGAAAAAACAATATATTATAAATTTTTCTAAGTTTACAGGATTCTATTAATTATGGGTTTTATAGCTTTAAAAAGGACTATCAATTAAATCGATTAAATATGCTTTTCTTTTTAGAACGATGACTCGCGTGATGCCGCCGATGCAACAGGCCGAACCCCCGCATCGTGCTCTACTTACGGTAAGCTTTAGAAAGAATTCCTTTGTTTTACAAAAAAATTCTGGAATTTTTCAAAAATTTAATGCAAAATGGCACTCGAGAATACCGTAGTATTTTTTAAATTCTAGGGAAAAGCCCCGACCACCATCACCCCACAATACCAGCAACCCCCGCAAGAAGAAATGATGTCAGCCACCCCTCGCGCAGCCCCACTCCTTGTTGCTGCCCGCGGCGCCAAGCCGGTCATCCGAGGAAGATGTAAGTGCCCGCGCTATTTTCCTATTATCGTCTAGCCGGCACAGTTCGGAGAAAGGACGGCGACCCGGATGATTCCTACGAAGACTTGTCCCGAATCTCGCCCAGGAAGGTGAACTTCCTCGACGGCTCGGGCAGCTCGACCTCGGCCACGCCAGGCGTGAACCTCGTCGTCGGCCCGCCACCGTTGCCCGGATCGGCTGGATCTGGTGAGTTAGAGACTTTCAAATTCAAGGTTCGAATCCCTGCCAAAACGTCGAAAATTCATCACTTTGGAAATTGTGCGCATTTTTGGCGCTCTGGCCCGCATTGCGTCGATAATAATTCGTAAATTTGTTATCGGAAAAAGAATTTATTCGGACATTTTTTTGGTATTTTTGGCTCTATGCAAATTACGAATTTATGAATGAAAGTAAAGTTATTAATTAATTATGACCTTTTCCAAGCAATGATTTTTGCGGTGATGATTTCGAATTAATAACGTTTGAAAATATGAGATTCAAACTATTAATTTATCAAATTAACCGATTTTTCGACTTTTTAAACTTACGTTTTTCCAGAATCCATCTCGTTCCGCCACGACGACCTGTCCAACTTCCAAGACACCGATGCCGAGGTTCAGCACCACCTTGACCGCATCCAGCAGCAGATGGAGGACCGTGAGCCTCGTGCTCACATGCTGGCCGCCATGCAGCACCGCGAGCCGCTCGCCGTCAACTATATGGACAAAATGGTACGATTATTCATTAAAAACTTTATCTTGGCTTTTAGAACCAAGGCGAGATCTGCTTCCGCACGCTGCCCTTCACCGAGACGATCAAGCTGAAGGGAACCTTCCCGGATGTACCGATGGAAACTGTGCCGGAGCCCCGGCCGAGAGGCAGACCGAGGGGATCCACGAACAGGACGCGTCTGTCTTCTCAGGTAGCTTGTGGTGTCAAGTGGACTTTGGCGCACTAATGAGTAGGCCGATTTGAGCCAGATGTTTCGCTTTGATAGGATAAATAAGTGTGCCGCAATCTGCGCCCCCGAACAACTGTTCTGAATTAATTTTTAATTAGGATTTTAAGGTTTTGATTTATAGCGTGTTATTTTTAATGATTATTTTAATCCTATTAAAAAATGATTTGTTTGAATTGTTTTAAAATGTAAATTAAATTAAATGTATATTTCCATTTTCAGGGAACAATGCCGCCGAATACCCCCGGAATGGTGGCCACCTCGGTGAGCCCGAAGCGGATGAGCCCGGTGAAGGTGGGAAGCAGGAGCCCGATCAAGATGATGATGGTCAGTTTTTATCCTATTTATTTTTTGTTCTATCATTTACAAAGTATTTTTAGTTACTATTTTTTTTTATTTTATTGTTATAACTATTTACGATCAGAAATTAATAATTTTCTTTTGATGCAGGGCGACGAAATCGAGCAGTTGGCCCCATTGAAGCCTCCGCAGGTCCCCGTGCTTCCACCAGAGATTGGTGAGTAATTGTAATTATTTTTGTGTAATTTATCTATTTTAGCTTCTCACCCACTCATCGAGTCACCGCCTCGCAAGGATTTCCTGCCAACTACCGCTTACTCCAATGGCTATGGACAGCAGCCGGAAATTTCGCTGCCAGTTAGAGAGCCTTGTGAGTTTAAATATCTTAATTTTTATAGTACTTTTAGGATTTTCGCTTTATTTCAAAGAAATAGTTTGAAAAAAAAAACATTTTTGAAGAAATTTTATCAGTTTGAGCGCATAAAAATTACATAAATTATAGTTGGGATGGGGTAAAAAGCCACGAAGAACGTTCAAATTGTTAAAAAAAGATTTATTTTTCATTTTTAGCACAAAATGCTGTTTTTTCGTTATGGGATTTTTTGTATTTAGGTATTTTTTTTGTAGGATCTAATTAATCTTTTGTAAAAACCTCTAGTTTTTTAATTAGCTATTCTATCTACCGTTTTCCAGCTCCGGAAGAGGAGTCCGATGCCGACTCTGAAGTGAGCGCCACCACCGCGGAGGAAGACTGGGGAGACTATACGACTAGGTAGGGATTGTGATCATCTACCTAAAATTCCTCCTTGCAGATGTTGGTGCGAGATGAGCCACAACGACGAGTACATGATCTCGTGCGACAAGTGCGACGTGTGGCAGCACATGAAATGTGTCGGCATCCCCACCGCCAAGCCCCCGAAGAACTACCTGTGCGAGCAGTGCAACCCGCGCAAGATGAAGCTCACCAAGGGACAGGTGGGAGAATTTTTAATTAAAATTAATATTTCTTAATTTATTGATATTTTAATTGACTACGGTATTTGGAATTTTTCAAAATTCATCGTTAAATTTTTTTGTCGAAAGAAATCGAGAAATTTAATTTTAGACAGCGGCGGATTGAATTTCGACAATCGAAATAACCGATTTTGTATTGAATACTTTGAAATTATTCATTTTTTTCCAGGCCAAAGACTACCAGCAGAAGAAGCTCGCCGAGCTGACGAAGGAGAAGCAGCGGAAGAAGGACCGTCGTGAGAAACGCCGGGCGGAGAAGCGAAAGGCCCGCGAGGAGGCCCGTGCCCTGAAGGCCAAGAAGAGGCGGCGCACCGAGCAGATGCGCCCCATCAGCACCGCCCAGTACAAGAAGTTCACCGAGATCAAGACGAATGAATATTGTAAGCGATTTTTTATGTAATTTTTCAGTTTTACGAAGAATTCAAATTTTTAAAATTATTAAAAATTTAGCTTTTTTGAATTTTGAAAGTGGTTGAAATCGTTAATTAGTTTTTGCAATGTTTTAAAAAGAGGAATTAATTTTGAGAGATTGAAAACCCTTTTAAAGCTATTTTAGCAAAATTAAAAACCTTTTTTAATTATTGAATAAGTTTTTTTTGCAGCCCCTCGTGCCAAGGAGCTGCTCTCGGCCTTCCAAACAACACACGGCGCCGATTTCGTTGTGGAGAATATCCGCAAAAAACAAGCCGAAGGTAAATTTATCTTGATGGACTTTGCGATACTGCTGTCATTTTAAACGTTATTAAATTAATTTTTGTTAAGGCTAAATGTACGGTGGAAATTCTGGTTTTTAGTACTCCCGAATGGTCGTCTCTCCTGACGTCGAGGGCCTAGTGGCCGTAGCGGCGATTCCGAAAAATGACCTCGTCATCGAATACCTCGGCCACGTCTCGTTCCCCAGCGAGTGCCCGGGCAGGGAAAAAGTCGGATCGGTGAGTGGCCCTTTTTTGCCAAATTTTTTTTATGCCGATCGCGAGGAATTAAAAATTGTTTTTACAAAACAAAAATTATACAAAAAAATTTTTAGGTGCAACCCCATTGCGTACTGTACTCTGGGGCCTCGCTTGACGCGCCGCTCGTCATCGACGGCCGGCGAAAGGGCGGTGACTCGCGCTTCGTCCGCCGCTCATGCAAGCCGAACACGGTGCTGAAACACGTCATACTCAACGGCAACCTCCATGTCCTCCTCAACGCCACCGAGGACATCGAGCAGGGAACGGAGGTGAGGGATTTTGTCAAAAAAAAACAAGAGGAAAAAAATTGAGTAATTCGATTTTCATATACACTTTCGACATTCTGATTTTTCTAAAATCTGATTTGGCAAAAATATTTTACGTAAAAGCTATTATAAAAATTATTTTTTATTATTTTTTTTTAGAAAAATGACTTTAAAAAAAAAAGAGGAAAAAATGGTTTTGAAAAATTATTTTTCCTCTTTTCTAGATCACGATACCATTCGACTCGGACTACCTGAACTGCCCGCGCCCGTTGGAATGCACGTGCACCGACCCGGCGGCGTGCCCGATCGTCGGCTTCAACCACAACCTCTGTCCATCACCGCCACCATCTCCGCCAAAGCGCAAGTCCAGCGCCGCGCCGCCCACCAAGAAGACGCCGGCCTCGGCCGCCAAGGCCAAGCCGAAGAGCACCGAGAAGAAGGCGCCCGGCCGGCCGCCCCGCGGTGCGCCGATGATCAAGCTGCGTCGTGTCGACAAGGATAACAAGGCTCAGGAGAGCACTGCTGAGGAGGACGAGGCCGTGGCTGATACCGCTGAGGGCGCCGAAGACAAGCCGAAGCCTGCCGGACGGGCCGCCAGGGCCCAGCGACGCAGCGAGGGCGCCAAGGAGGGCGAGAGGTAAATTTTAATTTTTTGTGAATATCTAGAAACTAGAAAAAAAGACTAGAATAAATTCGATATACCTTTGAAATACCCCGTTTTTAGTGGTGCCGAGTCGGGCGCTTCTGACACCGAGGCCCAACCACCCAACAAGCGTGGCCGCCGTTCGCTCAAGGAGACCCCGACCCCCAAGGAGGAGCCAAAGTCCCCGAAGAAGGTCGAGAAATCACCCAAGAAGGAACCATCCCCCAAGAAGGAGGCCTCCCCGAAGAAGGACGTGTCGCCAAAGCGCGGACGTGGCCGAGGAGGACGGGCGAAGAAAGAGGAGACGCCCAGCGAGAAGGAGGAGGGCGAGGTCGAGGATTCGGACAAGGAGGAGGAGCCTGAGAGCGAGACCGAGGAACAGAAGACGCCAGGCAGAAGGGGGCGTGGTGCTAAGGTCGGTTTTGAAGAATTTTATCCATTAAAAGGGGATTAATGAAAACAAAACTATTATTGATTATTTTTTACAGGGCAGAAAATCACCGGAAAAGCCCAGCCCGGCCTCCACTGGCAAGCGCACCTCCGGACGACAGAAGCCCGACACCTCGGCCCGATCGTCTGCCAACCGACCGGTAATTTTTTCTAAACTTGATTTGATATAATTCTTCATTTTTCCTATTAAAAAATGATATTTAAAGCAAGTTAATTAATGTAATTTTAGTTACAATTAATTTTCTGTAATTGTTAATTTTTCCTATCTTAAGAACCCTTTTCTGTAGCTTCAATTAATCGTCATTTTTCCAGAGCCGCGAAGAGCGCAAACTACAACACGAGCTGGCCATGTTCAAGAAGCTCGAAGAAGCCGAGGGTGGCCGGAAATCCGGGTCCCCCGACAAGCCGGAGCCAAGGAAGCGCCGTGCATCCGATCGCCATGCCCAGCAGCCAGCAACCCCGGCCGAGCGATCGACCCGTGGCGGCAAAGGGCAATCGAAGCGGGACAAGGATAGTGGCGATGACAAGTATGTAGAAATTGATTTTTTTTTTGGTACGATCCGTTTTTTTAGATCTATCCCCTCATCCGTGCCGCCCCGCAAGCGCTGGCTGATGGAGCAGAAAATGAAGGAGGAGGAAGAGGCCGCCGCTGCTCGAGTATCCTCACCACCACAAGACTTCTCGCAGGGCCGCAAGGGCTTCTTGCTCAGGAGGGCCCAGGCCGATCGTGAGAAGGAGGAGCCGGCTCCGCCCGATCCGGCCCCGTCTTCGCCTCAGGCTCAACCGTCGAGAATGGTGGGTATTTTCATCTTTCTTGGAGTTCTAAATTCATGAAATTATGGATTCTGAATTTTATTTTTTATTTTTAGTACACCAAATCTCCGCAAAAGCAGCGCCGCACCGACTCTGAGCACGAGCCGGCCACGCCCACCGCCCGGGTGCCGCCCCCGCGATTCGTCGAAAAGTCTGAGAATCCGCGCGAGCTGCTGAAGAAGTTGGGCGAGGGCTGCTCGAAAACTATCCAACCCTACGAACTGCCCAGCGGGCCGGAGTGGCCGCCGGTTACGCAAGGTATGCCTTAAACAAGTAGAAAACGCTGATAAAATAAAGATGCTTCGGAAATAGTTAGAAAAAGCTAACATTTTCTATCTAATCTACTTTTAATTTTTTAAGACTTTTAAGTTTGTGGTTTAAAAACTAAAATACAGACCTTATGTCTTTATTTTAGTGAAAGCCCGTCGGCTTACGCTGGAAGAGTACAAGAAACGACGCATGGCCGCCCCGCTGCCCCCCTCGGAGACGCCGGAGAAGTCGACGCGCGCAACTCGTCAAAACTTTATGCCTAGCCTCGATGTGGGTTTTGCCTTCTCTCTCTCCCTGGCTCTCTCTCCCTCGCTCTCGCTCTCTCTCTCTCTCTCTCTCTCTCTCTCTCTCTCTCTCTCTCTCCCGCTCCCTCAACATCCCGTTTTCAGGATACTGATACCTCGACGCTGACGCTGGGCCCGATCCCGGACCCGAACGCCTTGCACGCTGTCGACACAGGGGATATCAACGATCTGCGACGGCGGATATTCAACGACGAAATCGTGAGTGGAGATTGAGCTATTGAAAATGGCTGTATTTTAGCCCCCTCCACCGCAACCACCGATTCCGGAGCTCGGCTTCTCGTTCACCTCACCGTTGAGGGCGTCAAGGGTTGGTTTTTTCGAGTTTCTAGCGTAGGAGAAAGGTTGTTTTTGGAAAATCATGTTTCGGAAAGGCCGTTAAGGCCGTTCCGTTTCCGTAAATTCCGTTAAATCGACATCAATCCTTCAATTTCTTTAAATAATTTTTTACGTATTTTACAATGTTTAGTAGACGATTTGCCCAAAAACGTCCTCAAAATTTTCCAGCAATGTGATTCAGATTCGAAGCAACACTTTCAAAGTCCTTTTTCGAAGTAATTTTTTTGTAAATTTTTGTAAGTGCTGGTTTTTCGCAATAACGATTTACGAACTTCTAATTTTCGAAATTGATTACAAAAAATGAAAATTGCGTAAAAACGACATAGAAAACCTTACTAAACTTCCCATTCCAGCAACAAGCCACCCGTCCGACACCCGGCAGCGCTAGCGGAAGCGCGCAACAGCGCGGCTCCCTGGCCGACCGTCTCAAGGAACACTTTTCGCATTTGATGTAAACGCCGTCGCCGCCGTCCACGAAACACCTCCACACAAACACACCGTTGCCTTCCGCAAATCGGGAACCACCCACCGTTCGTCCGTCCGTCTGCCCACGATCTCCGCGCCCAGCCCTTCGAATAAGATGATAGCCATTAAACCCCTCTAAAAACTCTCAATTTGTTGTGCTAGCTGCGCTGGCTTGTCCAAAGTTTCCCCCTTACTTTTGGCCCCGTAAAATTCACTTTCCTATATTGTTTCGCTCGGAATTGATGATTATTCAGTTGCACCCGCATTTTCGCTAAGGATTTTAGTGCCTCACGCCCCGCCCGATTCTGCCTAGGCTAGCCCTACGAGGTGGCGAGATGTCGGTGTTTTTGCCTGTTTTTTTTAGAGGAGTGTCATGTTTTTGCTTTTATTTCTGGAAAATTAGAGCGCTTCACATCGATTTTCCTAAAGTAAAAAAGGCAAATCTTGAAAGGGGACCCTCGTAAAACCTTCAAACCTCTTTTTTTTTGGAACTTCCACAATGTTGGCTTCTTTTTAAGTTTAATCGATTGCGTACCTGGGTGCCCTTTCCAGATTTTGCCTAGAAAAAGCGCCAAAAACGTCAAAAAAGATCCTCAAAATAGCTTTTTCTCAAATTGACGCCTTTACGAGTTGATTTTCCCAACGAAATCCAAGGTGTCATTTCCCGATTTCGCGTAGAAAAAGAGGTAAAAACATAAAAACCGAAATTACCTAAAAATTAACCTCAGCAAAAACCCCGACATCTCTACAACCCTCGAATCCCAAACACAACGGAACCTCGAAACTTGGCACTTCACCGCACACTTTGCCCCCCGACCTCCTCTGCCCAAAAACATATTTTGCCTACCCCGTAGAATTCTCGCCGTTGAAATGTGCACCCCCAGGCCCTCCAGCACTATCCCTGCTCCCCCTTTAAAATATTGTTACGCTAATTCGCCTTGACCCCGGCAACACCTTACAAAAGTGCGGCCGGTGGATAATTTGCCCACGTACCCCACCCACCTCGATACCTCTTCGCCCCCATAGTTACTCGTTTGTGCCCGCGCCCACCGTATAATGACAACTGCTACAGTTGTTAATAAATTTTAATTTTTATACATTGTTGTCGGGTTATCGAAAATGCAATGTACCAGAAAAAAACACAAAAAACGGTGGAAACAAACAGAAAATTGAATTTTTTCGAAAGGATTTCAAAATTGAAAATGCAATGTACAAAAAACTGTGGAAACAAACAGAAAATTAGATTGTTTTATTTTATTAGTTTTTTATTTTAGGTAGGAAACATTTTAAAAAAGAAGTGGGACTACGTGACTGTACACTTGACGCGTCGAATCCGTTCGGGGTAGTGTCGTGGAGCGATGGCGCATTTACTCGATTTTCGCCTTTTTTGGGTTTTTCTGGATTTTTGTTCCTCTCGCAATTTAAAAAAGTCATTTTCTATTTCATTTGGATATCTATTCGAAAACTGATTTTTATTTTGGGATTGGCGTTGGCGAACGTTCTCTAAAAGAATCTGCGTAAAACTTTTTTCAAGGTCGCGAATTTTTAGGCCAAAAAACCCCAATTTTTAAGCCAAAGAATTCTGCCTTCAACGCTTTTGCCTTTTCTTATAGATTGTCCGGCTCTTTTTGCTTTCTTTCGTGAATCGCCGCTAATTCTGTTTTTCCCAACGTGCCGATAACTTTGCTTCATATTCAGGCGACCTACCTCAGTCAGTTGCCCTTGAACTTACCTACTCGAGCGTCTGAGCGACGAGCGCATGGCTAGGGAAACCTGTATGCTTTGCTTTTATACTTTCATATTCCTTTTTTACAGCCTCCGAAGAAGAGTCCGACTCCGAGTCTGAAGTTTCCGAGATCAGCTCGGCCAGCGAGGACGAAAAGGAATGGAGCGGGGAGTATACGACGAGGTATTTCGTCTTTGATACCTCATTTCCTTTTTTTTGTAGCTGTTGGTGCGACATGGGCCACGATGACGAGAACATGATCGAGTGCGAAAAGTGTAGCACGTGGCAGCACATGGTGTGCATGGGCCTCATGCCGGATGGCAACAACCCGAAGGGTTACCATTGTCATTCGTGTCGTCCGCGCAGGCAGAGGCTCACGAAGGGACAGGTATGGCTTGGATCTAATTGGCTTTCTATAGGATTTTTAGGCCCAAAAGAAACAACGGGAATATTTGGCCGAGAAGAAGAAACAAAAGGAGCTCAAGGAGATGAGCAGGAAGGCGCGCCTCGCCAAGAAACAACGCGAGATGGAGGCAAAGGAACGGACGAAGCAGAGGAAGCGCGACGTTGCGCAGAGGGCGCGCGAGCGGAGGCAGGCTGCCACCCCAACAAGGAAAGGCTCGTTGACGCCGAAGAGGGGCTCAATTACGCCGAAAAAAGGCTCGACTACGCCAAGGAAAGGCTCAACTACCCCCAAAAAAGGCTCAACTACGCCGAAGAAAGGCTCAAATACGCCGAAGAAAGGCTCAACCACGCCAAAGAAGAAGCCTGTCATCAAGGCGGCGCCCAAACCGCGCAGCCCGAGCCCAGACACGGTAGAGGAGCCGTCGAACGAAGAAACCGATTCTCCGCCCAGCAGCGCCAAAGAAGAGACCGAAACCTACACGCTGATCGCCAGCAATGATTATTGTGAGTTTGCCAGCCTGGGCTGCAACACGTTTGTTTAGCGGCTCGCACCCAAAAGCTGTTTGCGGGGATCAGCGATACTCAGCCTGAGCGTCTTGCCAACATGGTCATGACTCAATTGCAGCCACCCAAGGTATTCGCGTATTTTTTGATCATGTTTTGTTGCTTTTAGTACATCATCGCGGTGGTCAACGACGAGACGCAGGAGAAGGGGATGTTGGCGGTGGAGGTGCTGGAGCCGAATACGATCGTCGCCGAATATCTGAGCCGCGTCTCGTTGCCCGAAGAATGTCCTGAACGAGAGCCTGTAGGCGGGGTATATATCTTTCGGTTCTTTCTAATTATTGGTGGCAAATTGAACTCAATTTACCGTGTAAAAACTAACTAAAAGTTTAGGAAAATTGTTAAGAGGTAGCATTTTGGAAGGCTTTTGGAATGTCTGTCTTTGATCAAGATGGCAAAGTTTGGAGGCTTAGACATAGCCAAAATAGTTTGGAAACACTTCTTCGTTTCATGTGAGAAGAATTGAAGCTTAAAAAAGTAGCTGCTCCAATAATACGAAAGCACGCTTCCTCTTTTGAACTTGCTTTCTTTTCTTTTATTCACCTTTGATTTATTATTCCAGGGTAGTCCAAATACAGCCCCATTGTTTGATGTATAACTTTCGCGGCGCGATCAACCGGCGTTTCATCCTCGACGCTCGTCAGAAGGGCGGAGATGCGCGCTTCATTCGCCAGTCCTGCAAAGCCTAACACCGTTCTGAAGCACTGCAAGCTCAAGGGCGTCGTTCGTTTTATGTTGACCGCCGATGAGCGAATTGAATCTGGCTCTGAGGTATATCTTGTCGCAGTGGTGACCGTTTTACTTCTTTTAGATGACCCTCCCGTTCGACGCCGACTACGTTCCTCCGCATCTCCCTGGCGTGCACGTGTGCGAATATCGCCAACTGCCCTGCCGAGCGAGCGCGTCAACAGAAGATGAAGGAACTCGGTTCGAAGACGCCCCGGAGCACTACGAGCAGCGGCTACAAGTCGTTCGAAGAAGGCCAGTGCGGCTCGCGTGGAGATTACGTGGCTCCAGAGGTAATTTTTTCTTACCTATGTACCGTAATTGGTTTTATGTGTGTTAATATTTCCCAAATCATGCGTTTTATACAATTTTTGCGCTTTTTCGCAAAACGTAGCTCTTTTTTGTGCCGCGGTAACTCAAGAGTTGTCGCTATTACGGTAAATTGGACAGTGGGAAATTGGCTTTTTCGGATCTTCATTTTTCCGCTCTTGCTTTTGATAGATTGAATATTTTATTAAAATCAATAATCTAATTACAGTATCATGAATAATTGAAATTTCAGGTCAAACTTGTTGAGAAGCCGCTCCGTTCGGCCTTGAAGAAGCCCAAGCCGTTCAACGTTGACAATTCTGACCGAATGGTAGGGTTTTGGATTTTGTTGTGGTAACCGTTCTTTTTAGGGACGCGAAGAGGAAAGGCACCGCGATATTCCGATGGGCGAAGCAGCACAGTGGCGCGGACGGAGAGCGGAAGAGGCGCGGACGGGAGGCCAGTAAGTCGCCCCCGACGCGACACTCTGCTACTCCTCGGACGTCGGTCGGAAAGAAGCCGCGGCCGAATACGGATCTGAACAGGTGTGTTTTACTAGTTCGTCGGCAAACTGCTTTTTAGCAACAAGCAGCCAATATACGCGCTCGGCCAGCGGTTCGCCGTCGACAGGCTGACGAAGGACAGGATGCACATAAGCACTCATCGCGCACGTCCGCCACCATCTCCTCCGCGCCAAACGGTCCCCACAACGTCTTCGCTCAGCCACTCCAGAAACCAGGTAAGTGTGTTGAAAACTTTTTTGGAACTATTTGAGTGGCCGCCTTCCTCTCACGGACGCATTGCGCATCAGCCTCCGCCTGCCGCTGTGAACATCAAGACGGAGCCGGAGCGTAAGTTCAAACTCTTTGACCTTTATCTTCCTTTTCAGCCTCACCACCGGCCGCCCAGCCGCGCAGAGTTGTCGTTGGAAGAGTACAAGCAGCGAAAACAGACGGCCGCGCCCACCCCGCCACAGATCAAGCAGGAGCCAGGCTCGCGCCTCGTGGATGCCGGATTTCGATGTGAGCTTTGATGCTATTTTGTTTATTTTTGAACCCAGGACATCAGCCACACAACGTTCACCATGGCGCCGATTCCCGACCGCATGCGGGTGCTGGAACGGGGACACATCCAGCAGCGATTCGGTGCGTTCGACGGATTATTGCGATTGATTTGATCTTTTGTACTCCGTGCTTCTTCGCGGCGTCCCTGTCGGCCCGGCTCGCAGCAAGGTTGGGATCGTTTTGAAAACTTTTCAAACGTCTTTAGATGAAGATCTCGATCGACCAAGGACCATGAGTCGACGGCCCGTCTCCCGCGAACGCATGAAAGAAGTCATGCCGACCTTCTTGTTTAATTGCTTCTATGTGATGATTTATTGTCTTTATTTTCTGCTTGATTGACTTGTTTTATAATCGCCTTGAATTTCATGATTCGACGCTAAGCATTAAACTTTACCGGTACAATCGGTTTGGGAAGAATAAATTTTTCGTTTAGTTTTGAGAAGATTGGACGGGAAGGCTTTTACATGGATTTTGCCTTGTGCCTTGATCGATGCATTTTACCGGATTTGGGAATTGAACGCGCTTGGTGAGGAAAACTACGCTCGGCACTCGTTGTCTCGCGCGGTGGAAAAAATTTCTATGGCACGCTGGGACTGGAAAGCCTACGTTTGTCTCTCGAAACGATGATGCAGTTTGGGTCCTCAATTGCTCCGGGAACCAGGCTTGAAATGGGATGAGACTGATTAGATGACTGGATTCTCCCCGCCCTTCCAAGTGGTTCTAGATCTCGATGCCGATTTCCTCTAGTATAAGCTCAAGTCTTTTTTATGACTGGAAACTGGCGTACAGCCAGAACTTCAATTTTTCGATCGTTTGAGATACCAAAAATTCTTAAAGTTTACCATTTTGGACCAACCCCATCGGGATTTACCGCTTCAGATCGCGTGAAGCTACCTCATTAGACCACAAAGATTCTTATTTCATTTCATGTTCTATTTTTCGGGCATCCCCTGTGCTGGGTAGGCTTACTAGTGAAGTTAGATCAGTTAGTTAGAATAGTTAGGTTAGAGTAAATCCGTTATTTATTTCCGGCACCTACCGAGGTCGCCGCCGGGATCCGGGAGCCGTCGCGGGTTTGGCTGTCAGTTGTGTTGTACATATGTGTTTATCCGGGTCCGCCACCGCTCTTCCCGCATCTTCTCCGAATCACACTTCCCACCTTCACAGCCCAAACATACGCGGCGGAAAATCATGTTCTTTACCCCCAAGCAACCGGCGGTCTTCTTGTCGACTACCAGGAATCGAGCCGGGTGGCTGATTCAGCGCGCCCTTGTTCGAGTCAATTGTGCATGGGTTTTCGTGGGAGTTCGGGCCGTCCTTGTGTTGGATCGGGCCGTGTCGGGTATGTTTTATGAGTTTTAGATTTTCGGTAGTTTTCCGTAAAAATAAACGCTAAATTTTTGAAAGAGTGGTTGCGTAATGCTCCTTATTTTTTGGTTTTGATTCATTTTTAATTCATCTCGGCTTTCGAAGGAGTGATTCACGCTTCAAATGAAATATTTATCGCAACGAATAAGGTGATTCTTTGTTCGTTTGTTGCCAATCTTGTAGAACTCAACCTACCCCGATCGACACGTTTTTCACCTTTTTCGCGTCGACACGCAAGCGCCGAATTTATTTAGGCGCCCGGTTATATCATGCGGCTTATACAATGGCGACACACACGCGGCGTGATAAGTCGTTTTCGATGGCCGTGGTCTGGCGCTTGGAATTGAGTTGAAGCAAAGTGGCCCGACCTCCCAGTTTTGCATAAAATTTGGGGGTCGGGTCAAAATTTTCGCGTTTTGCGAGCTTTTCTCATGGTTTTTATTTCTGCCCCGTTAAATCGCTACCTTTGTAAACACTTTCATGTAGTAAATTTGAGGGAATTTTAGGGCGAATTTTCCTTCTTTGCCATTTTACAGGAGTCGCGACAGCTTTTTTCCCGGATCCGCTGGCTTATCGCGATTATACGACACCAGATTTTTGGGGTCATTTCGGCGAAGATTTGTTGAGCGCTGCTTTGTAGAGTTAGCTTGACGTTATTCGGGTTTCGCAATTTACGTGCGTTGGGTTTAATGATGCAAAAATTTAAATTTTCGAGTTTTAGCTTACCGTTGTGTGGACGGACAAAATTCTGCCATTACCCGCCGTTGTTGCTATTACTGTTGCATTTTTGACGTTATTTTTTTAGAGATTTCTCTTGCAGTCTTGCAAAATTAGGCAAAGTAAAGCTTCATCTTTAATTTCTCGAGTCAAGAATTTTAGGTTTTGGCTTTTCCGATTGTCTACCAATGTTTCATCTAGAAAATTCTGCGATTACACCCAGCGTAGCTAAAACCAAATTTCCGGTCTTAGCAGCAAAACGCAGCATATCTTGCGGCGTAGGGGGACGATTCGCAGCAGCGCGAGCAATTAGTCCGGGGCACATGTGTTTTCCTCGTTTTTCTTGGAGCAATCTCGGGGTGTGGGAGCGCTTGGGCCACGCGGAGACCCGTCCATTCCGCCCCGGCGCTGCGAGATGACAGCGCAGGAAGCGCCGATTCCAGCCCCGCACCAGCGCAACGCACATCACACATCATCCGCTTCTAAAAAACAAACAAGCGTTTGATGGGTTTAATTTATCGACAACTACTTTTCTTGCTTTAATTCTCGGCTTCATGCACCGTTTTTTGAGGTTTTCAGGCAAGCTTTTCTCTCCTCTTCTCTCTCTCTCCTTCTCTCTCTCTCTCTCTCTCTCTCTCTCTCTCTCTCTTTTTTAAAATCCCTACGCTCTAAATAGCCCCTTTCTCTCCTAATCCATCGTCGCTGGCTCTCACGCTCTCTCACGCTCTCTCTCTCCCGCTCTCTCTATCTATCGCTTTCTTTATTTCACCAACTTTATTGAAGTCATTTTTCGATTTTTACGGTTTTAGTGACGCGCCTCGAATGCGGGAATTCAAGGTGGTTGTCGTCGGCAGCGGCGGGGTCGGCAAAAGTGCCTTGGTGAGTTGAAATTAATTTTCAAAAATTCGAAGCAATCTCAAATTTTGGACGTTTTTGCCACTAAACGAAATTTCGACGTTTTCCTTTAGACAGTACAATTTGTGCAGGGGCACTTTGTGTCCAGCTACGATGCGACGATCGAGGACAGCTACCGGAAACATATTCAGATCGATGGGCGCGAAACGAGGGTCGAGATTTTGGACACGGCGGGAACGGTTAGTAAGCATACCTTGCAAATATTTTTTCTGTTTCGAAAAAGCCTTATTTTTATCCCAAAAATTTAGGAGCAATTCTCCGGGATGCGCGATTTATACGTGAAATCCGGCCAGGGTTTTATACTGGTTTATTCAGGTAATTTCTTTGATTTTCCAGAAGTTGTAGACTAGCAAGAAGAATTCTGGCCTTTCCTTTTCAAACGTAAAGTTTCGTACTACTCCAAATTCTAGTTGACGACCCCCATTCGCTGCGAGAGCTCCTCCCCATACACAAGCTTATAATGCACCTGAAACAGGGGCAGCAGGTACGGTAGCGGATTCGTACTTTTTATACCCCAGTTGACGTCATTAGGTGCCGATGGTAGTCGTGGGGAACAAGAGCGATTTGCACGGGCAGCGAGTAATTCCAACGGAACATGGACGACATGTGGGTTTAAGAGAGAAAGAGAGGGAGGGAGAGAGAGAGAGAGAGCGAGAGAGAGATAAAGATCCTTAAAAACTAGTCAAAATGCAATTTTAGGTAGCGCGCGAATGGGGCTGCTCCTTCTACGAAGCCAGCGCCAAGCTAAATCACAACGTTTCCGAGGTAGGTCTAAAAATATGATATTACAGGAATTACTGTAAAAGTCTAAAAACGACAAATGCTTTTTCAGATTTTTACCGATGTTTGTCGGCAAATAGAACGAAGCCGAGGCCAATCCAATTCGGGCAGCTCAGCGCCTAAGAAGAAAACTTTGCGATTACCGGGCGCGAGGCCGGATAGTGATGAGAGACGATATGGGAAGAATCGCTATGCAACAACCTCCAGTAGACGATCAGGAGGGAAATGCTGTACGATATTGTAGCGCACGTTTTGAAGCGGAGCGCACCAAGCAAAATTATGGCCAACAAATTGACACCGCGAGCATTTTGGCGCTTTTTGACGTTGTACACCGTAATCCTTTATTTTGCCACCGTAACCCCTTACCGTACCGTTTTTCGCAATTTTCCGGCATCAATAATCTTTATATATTTTTTATCTACCGGAATTGAATGGAAAATTACGGTAATTTTTTCTGACTTCACAAACTTTTAAAACACGGATCATTACGTTTCACACCCCATTACAGGTAAATTTCTAATGCCCCTATTTTACTTCTTAAGTATTATCTCAATTGTTTTTGTGGATAAAAACTACCGCGTGCATATCAAAAATCTGTATTATGTGTAGATTGAATAAACTTTTTGCATCGTCAAAATTACGGCTGCTTCATTTGCATTTTAAAATAAACTCAAATTAAAAACATCGAAATTGCATACAGTCATCACCCGAATTTTCAGAAAAACTCAAAAATTGGCATTTTGTACTTTTCTATCCATAGCATACGGTAGGGCTACTTGATCTTACAAGTGATGTTTTTATACCTTTAGAATTCATCGAAATGTCACAGAACCATTGCCAACTTTCAGCCGCGGGTCCCGCCGCGTCACTTACTGTAGTTTTACCGAAAACAACTTTAGAAATGAATTCAGAAAATGCGCATCGAGGTGGGCGGGCAGCAGGTGCCGCTGCTCGACGTCATCGAGGCGTTGCGGATGCGGGATGAGGTACTGGTGAGCTGGGCGGGCTAGCAGCGATTCTTTGGGGGAGTTCAAGCAGCTGCTCAAGCCCAAGTTCCAGAACAAAGTCGACACCGCCAAGGCCACGTCACCGATCAGCGCACCCGTCGAGACCCCCGTCGAGCCGCTGGTGAAGCAGTGGAGTGAGGCTTTTGAAGCTTTAAAAGCCTGAGCCCAAGCCTAAGCCAAGCCTACGCTAAGCCTTAGCCAAGCCTAAGATAAGCCTAAGCTAAGCTTAAACTAAGCCTAAGCCAAATCCAAGCTAAGCCGACTTCTTCAGACTGGACGTTCCGCGGCATCCGGCTGCTCCTCCTGGCGTCGTTGTGGCTGGGCGCGTTGCTGTGGTTCGCGGCGCTGTGGAATCGCGACAGCTTCTGCCCGTACGTCGCCCACCCGGTCGCACCGCAGCCGCCCCCGCAACCTGTCCACCAGCACGCCGCCGAGCCATGATCAACCCCATTTTTGCCTAACCGACAATTTTTTTTGTGTTAATAAATCGTTTTGTTTATCGCGCTGCTTGCATGTCCGGTTTTAAAGGGACCAAAAAATGTGAAAATCGCCCTTTCGATCTGTTGTTATTATGCTAAATTGTTAAAAAATTCGAAATTTTGTCAAAGGTCGACGTTTTTGGATTTTTGGAAAATTTATATAGTTTTTACGCTTAGCACAAGTAAAAAACCATTAGGAAAAATTGGATATCAAGATAATTGCCCCCCCGATAATGCGAAAGAACCCAAGATCCGAACTAGCTTTCAAACGGCTTTCCAAAGAAAATAGTCATTACGATAGCGAAGCCATATTTTCGTATCATATTTTCCACCGATCTACTTCTCAAAATATTTATGCAAAAAAACAGCAAAAATCTCAAATTTCTCACAGTGTCAATGCGGCAAGGGCACAGCGGCGCTAGCGGCCAACGGGGGCAAGTTGAAAATGTCCCAAGTGGGGCGGGGGGGCAAGAATCGGCAATCACACAGACACGCATCGCACGGGAATCGGCGAGAATTAGGCAAGACAAAATACACAGTATGAAAACTAGCGAATACTCGATCAACGACAATCGGCAAGACAGCACCAAAGAGGGCAAGACGCCTATAAAAAGTGGGAAAATACAGACTACAAAGACCAAAAAGTGGCAAAATTAGCGAAGAATCACAGCATATATAAAAGGCTAAAACTAAGAAGACTTCATGTGCGGCAGTGAGGCGAGCTTGATGAGTTTCTCGGCACTCCTATACACGTAGTTCGTCTCGTTCGTGCCGACGCCGTAGAAGTGCTGCTCCGACTCCGGGGCCAGCTTCCGTTTGATGCGATTTCTGAACAAGATTCCATTAAAATTGATTATCCCTGACCTGAGCGAGATTTTCGGGTCGGTGATAAAGTTGTAGATGACGGCCGTCCAGGAGTCGTGCGACTTGATGTCCTTGTAGAACTCGGGGGCGATGTGGCGGACCTGGAAAATCGTTTTCAAAAAAATCGAAAGTCTCGAAATTTTTCGAAAACTAACAGACGAGGAAACTCGAAAGGAAAAATGTCTTTTTCTTGCAAAATCAATCAATCAAATTTTTGTGGTTAAGGCTAGCTAAAAAAGAGTTTAGCTGTTTACCTTCGGCAAATTACACCCCGGCACGAACGGGAAGTCGTGATGCTCGACGTGGTAGCCGACGTTGAACGTCACGTGGTTCAGAAGGCCATAGTAGCTAAAAATACGCATAGGAAAAAAACGTAGGCTAGGCTTCGATACCTGTACGTCTCCTGACCGGGCTGGAACGTGTAGTGCTCGGCGATGAAGTGACCGGCTAGAGGATGGGGGCCAAGGCCGAGAACGAGCCTGAAAAATAAAATCTAGATTCTACTGTAAGAAACCAACCCGCCAAACAGATACAACAACGACTTGACGCCCCAGTAGTGGTAGACGGCGTAGTTGAACGACAGCTGGATGGCGATGTTGACCAGCTCGAGGTCGGTGACCGCCTAAAAAGGGGGATGATCAAAAAAAGAAAAAGGCGCACCTTTGGGTAGATCAACAGTGGGCGAATTCCGTAGAAGACCGGCTGGAGCACGACCCACAACGCCTTCCTGAGCGTCGTCGTGAAGAAGTGGCACTCGATCTCGCTGGGCACGTCGGTGTCGATGACGTCTTCTCCTGAAAATAAATAAATACGTAGTGTAATAGAGAGAAATCAGAAAACAGTCGAGTTAGGTGCTACGTAAAAATGCTAAAAATCAAGCCAATATTGAAAATTTATAAATTTAATTTGTAGGGCTAAAGAAAGGCGAGGCATGAAGAAAAGTAGATTTAAGCTAAAGGTCATGCTCACCTTGATGCCGATGGTGCTCGAGGTGGTACTTCTTAAACGACACCGACATGGGCAAGCCGAGGGGCAGGTTGGCGAAGAAGCCGAAGAGACGATTCTAAACTTTTTTGTTTAATTTTCCTTGCTAAGTCAATTCAAATGAAACCCCCCCCCACAATTTTTAGCGAAAAACTCACCGCCAGCGGGCTCGTGTAGCCAAATGCCTGGTTGTGCGCAATTTCATGAATCGCTAACGTCAGCGAGTGGTTGAAGACGCCGGACACGAAGTAGCATTGCAGCAACACGAGGAACCAGTGGGAATCTAGAAAAATTCATACCATTCAGAATAAATAGAAGGATATACCCTGTTTGTTTTAAAGCATTCAACTTACCTCTCAACAGATACGCAAAGCAAATCTGGGCCAACACCATGCACGCGACGGTCGGCTTGAAGGCGGGGTCCTGGCCGAACAGCTCCTTCACCTGCGGGTACTTGGCCAGGATTTCTTTGCGTCTAAAATAAAATATTTTACCTCCTGTTTCATTCATTAACTTTTCATACAAACTTTACAACTTTGTATTAAAATACAAAAACCCAGTTTCGTTTCGACCAAAATTTGGAAATTTCCAAACATTTTATCGATCTATAATGCATTTCGTCGTGCAATACACTGGAATGTCTGGATAGGATGAGGCAAATCCCCCTCGATATTGCACAAGCACCGAATTCTCCAAACACCAACCTGGTCGCGTGCGGCTCCTCGGTGTAGGACCAGGCAAAGTTGTCCGCCTTGGCCACCGATTGGCCCATTGCCCCTGAAAAGTGAAGTTTAATAGATTCTCAGGTTTGATGAGGGCATCTAGAAAATAGAGTTTAAAACTAAAAATAGAACGTCACTGCGATACATTGCCCCAATGCTCTGCCCGCAAGATCAAAAACAGTGGTCTCCCTGGGAGATTGGTTGCAAAAACGGCTGCTTGACCGGGACTCGGAAATTAGCTCATGTGTGTGTGGGCGCGCGAACAAAGGTTAGGAAATTTTGGGTTTGAAAGGAGGTTCTGGAAGGACAGAATTTAGCAAGGTGAATTTCTTCTAGAAAATTAGGCTATTTGGATCGCCATATTTTTTTATGACTGAAAATCAGACGATTGCCAAAATTCAACCTTTATCCTACTATATATAAAAACCAGATGGTTTCAGTCGCTTCGCGACTGCAACCATCTGGCCTTTCGGGCTACCCTACATGTCCCACTCCACCACATCCTTTCCCACCCCATCAATACCCCCATGGCTGAAATCCCTTCAAAACTACCTAAATACCGTCCCGATGGCTTTAGATACCCCCCATGGCCGAAATCCCTTCAAAAACTACCTAAATACCTTCCCCGATGGCTTTAGATAACCCCCATGGCTGAAATCCCCTTCAAAAACTACCTAAATACCTTCCCGATGGCTTTAGATGATTTAAATAATTAATTAACATAATTAAAAGTATTAAAAGTATTAAAAGTATTAAAAGTATTAAAGTAACTTAAAAAAAGCTATCTGGGCGCGGGAAAGGGCCTGGGGAAGAGGGGCGAAGGGAAAGGGGGCGTGGCATCCCGAGAGAGGGGCCCCCACCCCTTTTACTAAGGAAAAACTTTCAAAGTTAATTTTAATAATTTAAACTAAAACTTTTTCATAATTTTTTTATCAGTTTGGGGGTTTCTGACGGCGCTCTATCCGTATCCGAAGAGAGCTAAGCTCTAGCTCCTTTCCCCTTCGAGTTGAATTCGGCTTCAGACGGACAGACGGACGGAGACCACAGCAAAATTATTATAGTTGATAGTGTTTGTGTGTTTGTGTGTGCATTTCCATGCAACTTCCGTCACCGTGTTCCAGTAGTATCTCAAGGGGGGAAGTACTTAGGGGTATGTTCAATACGTCATTAGGTGCGTAATGGCCTGGAGATGACTGCCCACATATCAGATTTTACAAAATATGATGTTTTCGACATTAAAAATTAAGTTTTTATGAAAAATCGGACCCCAATTTGTTAGGATCAAATTAGCATGCACCGGAAGTCGCGGTAGCCTATATAATGGGGGAGAGGACCCGCTTTTCATTTTTTGCACAGGAATTCAGGAGTTTATGCAAAGTGATGTGCATGGGGGGTAAGACGGGGCCAGGGTTGAAAAGTCGCGAAGCGGCTTTTCAACCCTGGTACGTTTCTAAACTTTTCAAAATTCCAAAAACAAGCCAAAACTCGTATAAAAATATCTTTGCGTTTTTTTCTTCCGGAATTTCTGATGCAGCAAATTACAGCTTAATCGAAGTCACTTTTTCAACTGTTTTGAGATAAACGTCCGAATTTTCAAACGCTATAAAACCAAGCCCATAAAGCGAACAAGCCTTGTAGATCGTGATGAACTTTGTTCTTCGTTTCCCTTCCGTTTCGGACTAAAAAAACCGGTCCCACCAGCTGGCCGAAAGCTTTGGCGTAATCGCCGAACCATCCCACACTCTAGTTGAAGCGAAAAACTATTCTCCCAGACAAATTAGAGCTCTCTAGGCCAAAAGAACAAAAGTCAATTTCCAGCTATGAGAAACGAGCTTTAAATTACCCTCACCGCCTCACAAATTTGTCCCACCAAAAAACAAAGGTTCATGTCCAGGAATGAGAAGCATGGTGGGTTCTTTGGCACTATCGGGGGGCTTTTCTCTGAGGATCCAATTTTTCAAATATAAATAGCGGGTGTTTTCAAACTGTTTTTTTTTCACTAATTCTAAACGTAAAAACTACAGAATATATAGAAAAGCAGAATTTTCGACCGAAAATGGCGGATCTTTTTGCACAAAATTTCGACTTTTTCGAATAATATAAAGTTTTTCAGTTAGTTTTCTAAATGAAGAGGCTTCACTTGACTTCCTATTAAGTTACTAGACATTTTTAGACTTCTGCAAAAAACGATGCCCCGCTAACAGTTCAGAATCGAAACACTTAAAAAGTTCGGCCGGTTTAAATCAATCCATAAAGATATGATCAGGTGATCGTGTGTTTCGCCGTATCGCAAAAATTACACCCAGAAAAAGCCACAATTTTTATTCCAGCCCCTAGCTTCTTGCACTGGGGGACGCCAAACGAAACGGGGGGCAACGAGAGCAAAAGGGAAATAAATCAACAAACAAAAAAATATTGAGCAACTATCTTCTACGCAACTGCGGGGTCTAGAGAATATCCTAAAAATCACAATCAAGGGTTGAAGAACGGGCAGGGCTTCAAAAAGAAGGGAGCGATGCGAACAAGTAGCCCGAAAGAAGCCCGGGCGAGACCACCCATCAATCAGGCCGATAAGCCCGAGGAGTGGTAGATACGAGGGGCACACACAAGCACACGAAATGGTGACAACGGGCAGAAAGTCCAGCGAGACTGGACATCAGCAAGCTGAACGCCTTCAAGCCGTCGCCACCTTGAGATCCTCGTCGACGACTTGCTGGGCGAGCTCTTTGACGGCTTCTTCATTTGGCTTGGCGGCGGCGTCCCTCCTTTTGCTTTTCTTGTTGCGCCGGGCATCCATCTGAACAAATCGATAATTGGGGCGAGGAGGGAATCGTTTAGATGTGTAATGTTATGATGGTAAAAACGTGAATTTGAAAGGAAAGGAAAGGAAATAATGGTCAGCTTCCGGTTCTTTGGCGTCTTCAGGGGAGGGATAGATTTTTCTGATCCAAATTTTCCCAGGAACTCAAGAAGGTTTCCGTTTTCTAGCATCCTCATATCAAAATTTTCAAAATGCTAATAAAATGCCGCAAATTTCCGTTTTTCGGCAAAATTGCGGATTTTCGGCGAAATTTTATCTTTTAAAAGTTTTCTGATCAATTTTATGGCTTGAAATCTAGCTAATTTTACTAAACACACCCCGGAAAATGTTTGCAGTAACGTTACTGTGCATATTCTGGAATTTGGCAAAAATTTGGCCCCTTGAAGCGTCAAAATTCTAACCTTCTCAGCTCCTCCTCGGTAGCCACCGGCTCCCACTTCTTCACGTCCAACGCAAATGGGCCTCGCCGGGAATCGTCATCATCAGGCAACTAAAAATGAATTAACATTGTCATAGATTCTATACTTCATTTCAACATTTCTACAAACTCCAAATAAAAAAATTAATTTACCGATTAATAAAAGGGCCCAGCGCGGGGCTGCGATGGACGCAGAGGGCCTGAACGATGGCGGCAATGTTTCTTCGAGCTGGTCATCGCTCATCGACAACTAAACATGAAAAATGATAGCGAAAACTCTCGCGCTTACTCTGCCGACCACCGGCTCAGCGAGTCCCCCAAATTGGGTATACCGGGTCGCCCTTGATCGACAGCTTCACGCCGTTGCGGAAACGATCAATGATGGCAGGCAGATCGTCGCCGAGACCGCCTGAAAAAAACAGCTATAGGTGCTTTGGCATTAACGGGGGTCTTTTCTAGACATCCATCCCGGCCAAAAAGACGTTTCGTAAAGAATCTCGGCATCTAGGGACCTCAAGAAATAAAACGAAAACGAACCATTGACCTTGTTCGGAAACTTTGACCGGAGCAGCCCGCGAAGCGGCAAAATATGAGGAGCCATATCGGTGTGCGCAACGCAAAAATCGTAGTCGTCAGTGCGGAATTGCCCTTGATAATCTTCTTCACGACGTCCTGCCCGACGGAGAGCTCGGCGCCACTTTCAACGGCAGCTTCCTTCAATGTAGAGTTTAAATGATTTTTACTTCACATCAAAACGTCCTCAAAATCCCTGCTAGCTCACCTGCAGCTTCAAATCGTTGACAAACGCGAGAATCGTACGCTTTTCCTGGTGCTTGAACGGGAAGGGAACGGGGACGATTTCGTCGTGGTTTGAGATCATTTTCGTCTGAAAAAAATGAATAAACAACCCAAAAAAATGCCAATACCGATTTCTCGGTGCTCATGTTCAGCTCGATGCGCAGCTTGATGGGCGCGTTTGGCCGGTTGTAGATCTCCGGACACTACAACGAGCTATTTTGCAGAAAGAACTTTCCTACCTGCAATTCTCTGTGCATGGCGAGGGCGTCGCGGACGGAGAAGAACTGCGTTTTCACCGAGGACCTAAAAATCTTTTGTGAAGATAAAGTCGAAATCTTTATACTGATATAGACATTTGTGGCTAGCTTGTCGGGTAGAGCTTCTTCTTCATCAGCAACGAGACGTCCAGGGTATTGCTGAGATGGAGAGAGCCTGAAAATGACGGAAAAATGAAAATTTTCTTATTTTTGAAGCTAAGCCGGAATTAAAACCCCACAAATTCTATCATCCGCCGAATGCTGATCCTCTCCATGAAGGTGTACTACTTCCGCGCCGCTTCGCGGGCCTCCCCTTCAGCCGTCGCTCGAGCTTGCTGCCTTGTTAGGTGGCCTTTAGCGCACGTTTTCGCCCTGAAAAGGCATTTCAAAAAAGAACCCAAAATCTACCTCTGACTTCAAATACATCAGCCGACGCGGGCCTAGAATCGAGCCCACATTCAGGGAAGCCGGCTATTCGGGAAGCCAGCATTTTCAGAAAATGGAAATTGGATACGATGGGAGGGAGAGGACGATATTGCGCAATGAAGTATTAGGGAGGGGGAGTAGGGGGCTTTTAGGCCTTTTTAGCAGGAGTTAAGTGTATGAATCCATCACAAGGGTGACATTTTAGGTCTACTAAAAACGATTCTGACCTTCTAAAGTCCGTTTTCCTTATGTTTTGGCTACGCTATTCATGGAATCCAAAAGAATATTGTTTTTTACATGTTCTAAACAACAATTTAAACTTTTACAATACTTGTATTTTTAGAAAAATAGCATTTTTACAACATTTTTTGGTAAATTTTGGTCGCCGGGCACGGAAGGCTCACACACCCCCCAAACAACGGCACCCGTCGCGCCAGCCGTGACCTCGCGAACAAAAAGCCACGCATCATCGAACGGCCTAAATTTGCATGTTTCCAAATTTTTTATTGTCGTTCTAGAAACTAATAATATCTTTTCAAAGCCTTTATTTTACCTTCGATATAGTCTTTAGCCCAATACTCTTCGCTCGATACCGTAGCTACAGCACGTCTGAAATCTAGTTTTCTCCTTATTTTCTCCATTTTCAAATTTCTCACCCATAAAATTGAATTTTTAGCCCCGCAACCAGATGGAATGTACACCTCGCAAGACGCTCGGCGCGAAACTTTACGGGCCGGATGGGAAACCGCACGAATCCTGACGCGCCGACGGCTTCTGAATATGATTGGTCGGTTTTAGATTTCCGAGCGTTTGAGGCTCTGGAGAGATCAGGAGATGTTAATTGAACAAACGAAGTTGTTTTTATCGCTCTAGTGTGTCTCGCGCCGCTGAAAATGAATATATCAGAAGAGAAAAGGGGCCTGATTTACAGGAGAACGCACTTTTTTGCGAGGTTTGGGCACTAGGAGGCTTTCAGGCATTACAGACTTCCCTAATTCCCTTTTTTCAGAGCACGAAGCATTGGCCATGAAGCAAGTGGTGCGGCGCAAAGAAGCCTCCTCCGCGATGCCGCCGGATTCGATCGGCCTCATCGCCCAGATCGCCTTCGAAGAAGCCGCGATTATCGCGTCATCTGATTTTGAATTCTGGTCTGAAATAATGCCTGGAAATTAGCGCCATTTCGATTTCAAGCCATATTTTTTCACACTCGTACTCGCACCGGCTTACTCTGCTTCGGCAGGCGAGGAAATTGAATGCCGTTTCGATTTTCACTTTCGCTGCGGAGCGAAAATCATGGGTCGCCGCGGGCGACAACTACGCCAGCATTGCCGCGCCAATACCTTCGACATAATCTTCGGCTTCTCTCTGCGGCGCATGGCGCAATTCCTTTGCGCGGTAAGGATTTTTGTACCATTTTCGAGGCTTTCTTTAGACTGGCATCACTGAAGCAGCCGGGCCTGCTTCGAGGAATATGGCGCCGGGCGGACATTCGCTGGGAAGATCGCCGAATTTCATTCTTTTCAAATTTTTTACCGTTTGTGAGCCGCCGCCGAAGTTGACGCTCTCGAAGCTCGCCCCAACGACTTGGGGCGGATTTTTTCGACGGATGATGTAAAGACGGTTTGACTTTTGGCAGCTTGGAATCCACTTAGGCGCTCTATGGCCGTTTGAAGCTTTTGGGCAAGCTCTGGGACTGGCTGTTTGAGCGCGAGGTCACCACGATGTTCCACGACGACTTTCGATCAGCTTCGATTTTCAGGTATGCTA